TCCCAAAGAGACAGATAATGTCTATGAAAATGCAAGCCGGCGCTGCACGAGGAGGCTTAAGACCTGGAACCGATACACCAAATCCCGCATCATCGGCTATGAATGATCAAGCTGGGTGGTGGGAACAAAACAATTTGCTGAAGTGTACTGCCTACCTACATTTGGAAAGGTCAGCCAATGGACAGGTGGATGCGGCCTGCGAGTCCGCTAGGAAGCAGCGATATCGCTGAGGTATGGAATGCTGAGGCCGAATTGCTGGCAGCGCAGTCAGTGCACCTGCACCACATTATCCAATGCTTCATGTATAATAACAGCATTGGGGCTCTGCTGCTGGAGCTCACACTGGTTTAAAGTGGAACTAAAGCCATTTGACATTTTGTGATATACGCTATATGGGAACATCCGCAGCGTGACATATCAAACCCAATTAAAGTGTTTTAATGTATTAAAAACCTCTTTTTTGGTTTATAGTATCCTATATCTGTATATAGAACACACATGCCTCTTGTATTTACCAATATTAGTTTAACCTGCAGTTCAGCTTTAGGTAAGTTGCATATGTATGAAATCATATACATCATGTGACTTGTATATTGGTGTGTCAAAGTCCATTAGCTCCATATTTTTACCACCACAGATTCTCTTTAAAGGAGTTCTCCTCCTAAGGGTCACGGGAGGACACAAACTAGCGTCCTCACGTGACCCAAAGCTCAGTATATCGCGAGCTACAGCTCGCGGTATACTGACACCGCCGCAGCCGGGACGGATCCCGACATTACTGTTGAGATCCACCCAGCTGCGTGATTGACAGCTGGCTCTGCCTATCTAGAGGCAGAGCCAGCTGTACCCGCCCCTCCCCCATGCATTCCACCAGTCAGGCTGGAGTATCGGAGAGGGGGGGAAATCCCTGCAGAGAGCCATGACTGGCAGTCGCGGCTCTCTGCAGGGACAGGATCGATAAGTGAGTGAGTGAGTGACGGTATGTGTTTGCTCACTTCCGACCTGTGACAGTTTCATTGTCACACGTCGGCTCCAACTATGAGGCTGAGTGATTTTCACTCACCTCATAGTTCTCCTTTAATGCCTTTTTAAAGGAGAACTACTGGGAAAGTAAAATGTACTCTTCCCAGTAGTTTGAGTCGGTGTGTGGCACTGCAACCGTCACACGTCGGCTCTATAAGATTAAGAACTGAATGATCACAAACTCCTGATCGCTCAGCTCATGACTTCTCCTTGTAGAGAGCAGTCACTGTCAGTCACCGCTGCCCGCAGGGATTCCCCCCCTCTCTCTAGTCCTCCAGCGCTCATTGGAGGGACATACAGGGAAGGGGGCGGTCACATCTGCCTCTGATTCTAGAGAGGCACAGCCAGCTGTCAATCAGGCATTGGGGTGGATCCTGACAATATTTTTGGGGTTTTTTCCTGGCTACAGCCCTGTGCTGTCAGCTGTCATTTTTCTCTAGTCTAGTCTTGGAGCTGGTATAGTATCTGTACTTGTACCGAGTACTGTACTTGGTATCGGTGCCTCCCTATTGAATACACACAGGGCTGGATATCCCACAAGGCCACCAAGGACTGGCCTCGGGGCAGCAGGGAGTAGAGGGGCAGCAGGGGTGTGGAATTCCTATCACACGACACCCAGGACATGCAGTTTGCGGAGCTGGGCAGGTAGTTGAGGGGGCATATTGAAGAACCTGGCCTTGGGGCAGCAGAGAAAGTAAATCCGGCCCTGAATACACATCACCAAAACTCGCACCTGATACAAACAGAGTACATTTTGCTTCAAGCATACTTTTGGCTTAGCTGCTAATTCTTATTATGAACCGCTCCAAAAATCGGTAATGATTCTCTATGCATTTGCAGATTGTTACTGAACTGCGAATTCCCCAAAACAGCCACCTGCAGCCGACGACCGGCAATGTTCATTAAATTCTTAACCAAAAGTGTACATAACCTGGTAATTACTAAGCCTGTGGGGGATAGTCCGGACTGCTCCCCTTTTATTTTAGAGGGGCATCATTCCAAGGATACGTTTCAGCATACACAGGGCAGGCAGTCAAAGCAGAAGTCAAGGTTTCCTTGCGAGCGTGCTTTTGACATCGTTTTCCATCAAGAAAAGTGATAATTATTGGAGTAGTAATTGGACGGTTTAATGCGTGTTGTCACCGATCAGCAGCTGCCAAATGTTTCCATTAGAGGAAACAAATGTTTACAAATTCAAGACACCTATTAAAAAATAATAATGTGATGTAATGAGCGGTTAGCGATGGCCGGGAACACAAAGCAGGTTCACATTTAGCCATCTGGACGGAGCACGGGTCATCCCGAAGGTTCTCTGGACACAAGCGCTGGAGAGACACGAACTTTGGGTGAGAACACAGAGCAAAAAAACGGCTCTTCTGGCCAACATACACAGGCAGGATCAACTCCACTCTGTCGCTGGAGAATTAAACTCAATGCAGTCTTCAATATCCATTTATCAGTATTTATCACATCACTCCTGCTATCTGGCCGCACTCGCTAGAGGGACTCTGATGCTCCAAAGCTGCTTATTTGCCTATGATGAACATGTTCATATTTAAGAGATGAGTACGACTCCTGTGTGGACGCCAGGAATCTCTGGTAACATATCAGAGCCTTCTAAATCATTATTGGGATTATACTCTGGAATGTTACGCCAAGGGACAGGCAAACGGCTCGTTACTAAACTAAAACTGAAAACTCTGCAGAATTTCCACCAGCGTGGCATTAAAGTCCGATATCAATCTCTCCGTGTCCGCAAAACTCACCGGATTATTATATCTACTATGCCTACCGCTGCTTTACAATTTAAAGGGTAATGCCGTTCAGCTGCTTTGTATGAGGGACGGCGTGGCTAAATTGCCCTTTATATTATGAGGAAGGGCAAGAATCAAGTGTGACTGCAGTAGTGATGGCAGCATCAAACATATTATAAAAAGACAATCAACTCTGGTTCAGTGGATATCTATACGGGTTCATGTCAATTGCATGGATACACAAGCTAATCCACCAATGCATGAATGAACAAAATAGAATAGAAAAAGTCTTCAGAGAAGCTGGATAAAATGTGATCCTTAGGGCTAGGGATGCACCGATACCGGTATTTCGGTATAGAGTACTGATATTTTTTTTTCGGTACTCACCGAATACTGAGTACCGGAAGTCCAATTCAGGAAGCCAGGTGGTGTGTAATGATTGCCACCTGACTTCCTGATTAGCTGGGAAGCTGTCCCCATGCTTCTCATCACTAGGTGACGAGAAAGAATGGAGCCGGCTTTCTGGCCAATCAGGAAGTCAGGCGCTGTATAATGAAGCGCTGCCCGGCTTCCTGATTGGCCGGGAAGCCAGCTCTGCTCCCTCGTCATGAAGTGGCGGGGGAGCATGAAGCCGGCTTCCCAACCAACCAGAAAGCCAGGCGCCGTGTCATTACACGGTACCTGGCTTCCTGATTGGCCAGCTTCCGACCACTCAGGAAGCTGGGCAGCGCCTCATTACAAGCTGCCCGGCTTCCTGGTTGGCCGGGAAGCCAGCTCCATGCTCCCTCGTCATGAAGTGACGGGGGAGCATGAAGCCGGCTTCCCGACCAACCAGAAAGCCAGGCGCCGCGTCATTACACGGTGCCTGGCTTCCTGATTGGCCAGCTTCCTACCACTCAGGAATACTAGTATCGGTATCCGTGCATCCCTACTTAGGGCTCATTTATACGGGTGTGCACATCCATACGTCATGCATGCCCATGCAGATACCTGCTCCTGGGAGGGACAGATGCTACGTGTAATAGTGTGCAGCCCCCTGTACCTCCCTATGGACACGGCTGCACATGGTTACTTGCAGACCCAAACCCGGATGTGCATGCCTGTGTGAATTAGCCCTTTAATAGCAAAACGACTCAAAAAAACAACCAACAACAACTGAGCAACCCTTACCAAAAAACACGTCATGGTGACAATAGAAAGCAAATGGCAATGTTGTCATCCCACCACCACATCAATCACAATACTGTTGGTACTATACACACAAACATATTTTCCACCTTAAGTGCCCATTTAAAAAAAAAAACATGACAGCAATGTACACTGAGTGCACATGTAGCAGGCATATATAGTTGCTGTATATGAACACAGAAACTTACTTTTTTGTTAAATGTCCTCTCTATTTCATCATGACTCCTTTTGGAATGGCCACATCTGTTATTGTGATTGATGTATGCAGGAGTGAATGGTGTTGGTGTTGCTTGTTTTCTATTGTGTCATTATGTTTTCTGTTATATATTTTAAATACAAGCAGTGCAACTACGTGCATTTGACCTGGTACCAGTATAGTGTACATCAGAGCTCAGAGAGGGACGGAAAGCCAATCAGGAGTGCAATGAGAATGTTGATAGTTAGATAGAGCAGAGTGACAGGGAGAGATAAGCTCATCAGTCAACTGCCTCTTCCTTTACTGTCCATTGACAGGGTGTTAGTGGGAGAAGACTTGTAACTGCAAGTTCCCTTCTCCTGCCATACAGGACTTTGCTGTGTCTAAATCTCAGGACTGGAGAGAGAGAGTTGCCATGTATGTATTACGTCTGTGTATTTAGCTGGAGCTCAGCTTCAAAGGGTGCCTGTCGCCAGAAAAACATACAGGCGGCCATTGGTGTGAGCTCTCCTACTACAAATTGCTTTGAAAATACTAAAACCAGTCAACCGGCCAGGAAACTAGCATTTTCAGAGGGTGGCCAGCAATGGCAGCCCTTCTCGTATTCTTATTCTGGAAGACATTCTACAATGGCGATGATGCCACAGCATTGCTAAACTCTATCCTTCTCCTTCTACAAGTGCAAATAGCTGAATAGCACCCCAATATACAAGCCTATAAACTGCCATTCGTGCCAGCAGGTGGTACCGGGCCATACAAGTTCTCCGATGTGAGGAGATAACCTTTAAGTATTGGGCTTGCACTATAACTGTACAATCATCTCCTATACATGCACTTACCTTTCCATGTCCGCATTTTGTGCCCGTGAGAACAAGCCCGGGGTCTGGCATGTCATCCCCCAGGTACACGTGTGTGCCACGGCACAGGATTTTGCCACCTTCCTGCAGGGGGATATTCGTCTCAATGGAAACGGCATTCGTGCCGATAACAGGCCGGCTGGCACCACCTTGGCACTGAGTCTTCCCGCACTTGGCATCCCTAAACAGTAAGAGAAGGGGATTTGTTCCGGAACCATCACATGTAAAATTCCCAGAGACGGATCAGTATCCTGTAATCTAATCAATGCATAATAGTGAGCCTACCTGCTTTCACATTTCATAAAGGATCCCGACGAGTCTTTCCCACAGTTCCCGTATGGATCGCCTGCGGAGTTCACTCTCTCAAAACAAATACCTGGAGCTGGCTTGGCACCTGAGACATGAAAAACACAGATGTATGTTACTTACAGATGATCTCCATCTTTAGAAACACCTTTTGCTGTAATCCTCAACTTCAAGCAGCACACACAGTACTTGTTCTCAGCCTCTAGATGTCACCAGTCTTCCTGATTGAATGACAGCAGGCATCATTCAACACACTTCTTCTAAACTCAGGCTGTCATGAACATTTCTAATGGCACACCAACACTACCAAAACAAATGCACATGACTCTCAATGCACTGTTGAACTAACTATAGGTCACTAATGTCCTGTAATCAGGGTCACCACTCAGAGCCAATTCTGGTCCATTGCTTTGCAGGTTGCTGTCAGTCTAACAATGAACATGTTTTCGGGAGGAGAAAGCACATGGTAAGTTTATTGCTGCAATGTTGTCCAATCAGCAACTTGTGGGTCAGTTGCTGACCAAGCCATATTTTCTAAAGCTGAACTCCAGGTATAATAAAAAAAAACACAAGTTAATGCAATTATGTGTTCAGTAAAAATAGGTACATTTATTTTCAAAGGCAACCAGTACAAATACCGGAATTCAACTTGGTATTAGCCTCTTAATTTCAGACGTAGCAGCACTAAGACTGGGAGAGGAAGGGGCAGCATGTGGGACTAAACAGGCTCTGCTCCAAGAGGAGAGAGCAGAGAGATAAGCTCATCAGCCTCTTCCTGCTCATCCACTGTCCAATCACAAGCTGGTGGCAGGGAGGTGATCTACCTTTATGTCCATAATTGCAATAGTGAACTATCCAGTCACCAGTCCTGCTGTGCTGTGTGGCAAACCTTTGTAAATCACAGCAGTGGCTGGACAGAAACACAAATTCCTTGGCAAGTAAAACTTTCTCTTTTGCAGTCTGCCTGGAATTTAGTTTAGCCCCCAGTCACCTTTTGTGAGGTGGCTACTAGACATTTAGTGATTGCCGGGACTGTAGTCAGCCTGGCTGGATTGTAATTGTTTTTGTTTATCTGGTTGATTCCAGGTGTCTAGCATTGATACCTGTCTGGGTGGAGTGTGGCTCTATTGTGGGACAGCCAATGAGAGGCACTGTGAGTGTATGTACAGTACAGCAGCCAATCACTGGGTTTCTCTCAACCAGTGGTGCATGCTGCACAGGGGCGGACTGGGAACCTAAGCTATTTCTGAAAATGCTACTTGTTTGACCCTCTCTGCTTTGCAATATTATTAAGCTGACCCAGAACAAGTAGGCAGATCAGGAAAATCAGAGTGAAGTCATCAGTCCTAATATGCTTATTCAAGGTCTGTGACTCAGAAAGAGCTGAAGCCATTATACGTCATGACAGCCATGTAACTAGCATTTATAGAAGAATAGATCAGCAGTGGTAGCGTCCATTTCCCTTAAGTGCAGTTTACCTTTAACTGCAGACAGCCAGCTGAGTTGACTAACCAGTCTGTGCTGTTGGCCAGGGGGTGCCTAGACCACAAGACTGGCTGAACCCAATAACAAATTCCTTTAACAGGTAAAATGGCACACATAAATGTATTTCAAAGTTTTATTCAGCTTTAAACAAAGCTCTGATATTCTGTTTTATGAAAAGACTAGCATGGAAAAAGGCATTCTGTGCACTTTGCGGATGGGGTGGGGTTTAGCACTTCAAAGGTTTTATGTCTACAAGCTACAATTATGAGCTACATGCAATGACTGTTAAGTACACCAGACACAACAGGTCTGCTGGTCTTTCCGAAGCATCCAGCAAGTACCTTTCTAAATGTATCCCCATACGTCTTTCCTAGAAATAATTGCCAAATTTGCAGGCACGGTAATTGCTAGATTTGACTAAACACGAGGTCCTAATGTGTTGTGTTTTTTTTTTTTCTTACCCATTCACAGCCATGTTAATTACTGAAAAGTAAATCAGGATAACATTTTTATGAGGCTTTCAAGCTATTCTTCTTGTGCTTGTAGAGGTCACCAAAAAAACACAGAGACGTTGATATGTATGATTTGGCTCCATTAAGGCCGGGGAACTTCGTGTTCTTGTACTCGGTCACCCAGAGATTTCACAGCATGCACTCAGATATAATAGGGGGGCTTTCAGTCGTGGTAAAATGTCCTCAGTAAAAAAAAAAAAGAGAAAAACCGCTTAAAATCTTCATACCTGGAAGTGTGAAATGTATTGTACAGAATTGAAATGTTACGGGATTGTTGTATGAAGCCGCACAAAATGCCTCGACTGCTTAGGGGACCAGTCGGACTCTGATTTTTTACTTTCTAATTGGTTCTGGAAAAATGATAGCTGAAAGCTATGGGATATAGCTGTGGGCAATGCAAACCTCTCCCTTTACTTCAGTATCTATCAACTCAACATTACATATTTATTAAGAGATTCGCATCAAATCGCAGATGGTGGGGTTTCATCTCTGCTTCTCCTTCTTTGCACGCTTTAAGCACAGGAACCTAGGTATGTCCGCATGAACAGTTGGTTTCTTACATTTATTCATCAAAACGACAACAGAAAGTCTTCTCACTCGGGGCATATCAAAACTAAAGAAAGTTTGTAGCCTATTGGCAAATGGTTTCTTACATGAAGTGATCCTAAACTCCAGTAGCATTATTTTTCACACACTTCAAGATCCTTCTTCCAAATCAAGAAGCTTTTTGGCCTCCTAGGTAGGTACCTGTGTGTAGGGAAAGGGCTCTTGGAAGATGTAGATGTGGAGGTCATGCCTATATTAATAGGAGTACGCAGCAGCTGCCCCTCCAAGAATTTTACAACCCTGGTGATGATCTCACTGGGAATAAAAAAAGCTGTTTCTCCCTAAATAAAACCAATGATAGTGATGGGGCATGCTCTAGAGCACATTCTGGCCCTCCAGCTGTATTGAAACTATCAATCCCATCATGCATCTGTCTCTGGGAATCATGCCTGTGGGTGTCAGAGTCTTGCAATGACTAATGGGATTTGTAGTGATACCACAGCTGGACAGCCGGCATTTGCCTAACCTGCTCTAGAGGGTGAACTGGAGGTTTGAGGGTACATTTGGGTAATTCCTGGCCATACTCTTTAAGAAGTCCCTAAAGTATGCATGTTTATTGCCAGTAACCTCAAAATGTGTAGTCTTGTTTTACAAGCTATCCTTAAACATATTTGAGATTATTAAAGTAAATGAACATTTTATACAAAACAGATGTTGGTGCTGTGTTTAATTTGGCAGCCTGATGTACTGATTGATCCTGCCAGACATACCCCTGTAGATGTTTAAGCAAAACAACAGAAAAAAAGAGGAGTTTGTGTAAACAAATGTTACCCATTCTCATTTGTAATACATTACTGGATCTTTAACAGCACCTTAAAGCCTCATTCACATGTGTGACAAGCATTCACGAAATGTGCAAAATGCATGTTGTGCTTGTGGTGCCATTATTGTTAATTGCACCACAAACGTGGCAAGCAAGATGCGTGCTTTGATTCCTGCAAAAATACACACACAAAAAAACGTAAACAGCTGCTTGAGCTTCTTTGCCATGTTTCAAAAGCAGAGATTTCCCATGTTAACTTTTAAACTTTAGCTTAGGTTTTAGTTGCACAACTTTTGCAACTAATGTGGAAGCCGCACTGTCTCATCAAGGCTCCTCTGTGTAGTGTGGTCCAAACTCTAATCTATGAGAGTCTCCATCTTGGCGCATAAATAGCAAAGGATGAATTGGGTGCTGGTTTACCAGGAGGTAGCCCATTCCTCCTTGAAGGCACGGGGACATACCAGAAGCTGAGCATATCACAACAGTAGCTGAAGGCCCCCAGTGTGTCCCCACACCAAATCCAACAAGCAATACAAATGGTAAATGCACTCATCAATTCATAACTGACGTTAAAGCAAGGTGCACATGGAAGGGCTTTACATAGTACAAAAGCAAAAATTTCCCAGCACACCCAGTGTTAGGACTACACTACACAGAGGAGCCTTGACGAGGAAGTGTGGCTTCCACTTATTTTGCAAAGGTTGTGGAACTAAAACTTTGTTTTTAACCCTAAAAGTTAGACGTTTAATTCATTTTTTGCCAGCTGACTGGGGAGTGTGCTGGAAAATCTTTTTGGTTTTGTATTGTGTAAAGCTCTTCCATGTGCACCTTGCTTTAAAGCTGGGTATTAATTGATGAGTGCGTTTTGCCATGTTTGTCACACGTAAGGCAGCCCATTGAAATTAATGGGTTGACCTATACGGATGAGCAAAAATGTTACGTGCTTTCATGTGTGAATAAGGGCTCAAATTAAAGCTTTTCTTTCTGCCAGATAGCATGGCTCCCATTTTGGCCCGCTCTGGATATGAGATCTGCAGATCTCAGACTACAGCTCTTGTGTAGTTTTTTTCTCCACTCTCCACTTTGCCATTGACAGAATGCCCTGTAGTCTGTGATTGGTTCACAGTCTATATGACCCGCAGCTCTTATATCCAAAGCGGGAAGGAAATACTGCGGGAGCTGTGCTACCCGACAGCAAGAAAAGTATTGATTTCAACGTGCTCTTAAGCAATCCAGCCATGAATGACAAATTAGGATAGGTAACATTTGCTTACGCAACAAAAATATCTGCCTGGAGTTGGGCTTTAATAACACCTAATGAAAAAGCATTTTAATTGATGGCAAACAAGCAGTGCTTCTAAAAATACAGAACTGAGCTTTGAATAAAAAACATATAAAGTATATTTTAAAAAAAATGAACCCTAGGCTGTTATTATAAAACTACCCAGGCATCAAAATAAAAGTGAGTATCCTGAGAAAAGCTAAAATGTTAAATTAATTTGGTGTACAGGAGAGATTCCTCATGTTGCTCTTGTGGGGAAATTCTCTTGCAAACTGATAATAAAATCAATGCCAGGCAAGCGAGAAGTATTCATTTCAGTCTAGTTACAACACTGAAGGTGCACAAGAGGAGTACACACATACTGACTGATGGACGCCCAGTAAAATGTGTCCATGCTGCATGTAATAATATTGGGGCGCTTGCTGAGACTGTTTAGGTCT